ACATTTGGCTTCTCATTTTCTACCAGCGACTGAAAGGTCACAGCGTAAGATATGTCCGAGTAATACTGTTTGCACTTACTTCCTTGATAAACACACCGCACACCATTGACTTCGTTAGTACATTCTTCTTGAAGCTTCCTACCCTCACAAACACCTAAATTTTTCTTACTCTTCAACTATACAAAAAGCAGTGCGTGAAGGAATATGCAAATCAAAAAAAGAGAGACACATCACTTTATGATTTTATTGCCAGAAACCGTTGCAATAGAGCGATTTTTAACCCAAACTAATGACAAACAACCACGTTAAGAAAGATACTTGAACTATGAAACCAAAAAAACAATTAGAGTGACTAATAATATTTCAGAAGTAAAGTAAAATCTAATCTTCAACTAGTAAAAACGCTAAGCTTGTTCAGAGCACAGAAGAAAGAAATTCTAAAATGGGAATCCACTAACAAAGCTTCTTACTTAAAAAGCCCCATCCTTACGAGTTGCAGAAGACCTTATTCTTTTCATTCCAAAGACTACCTTACTAGGCCAGGTGGGCTTAAAAAAAAAAAAAAAAAACAAGATTTTAACATAGTAAAACCAGCATTTTTCAATAAAATATTTCGACTATTAAAGTCGCAAGGCCACAACATCTAAAAGCATCGAAGAAAAGGAAATAAAAAAACAGAACACGCGAGTGAAGAAGAAAGAGAAAGAGAAACACTAACTATTTGCTCACCTAACTATTTCTAACAAACAGTTCTTGCAATCAGTACCAATTGCCCTGATTGAAACAGCAATTTTTAGCTGCAGATTAAATCTCATATCTTTTTAACCTGGAAAATGGAAGTACTCTTCGACTGGGACTTCAATACTTAAAGAGACGTTTTCCTCAGAAATATCTCTTTTTAGGCTCAAATAGATCACCGAAACAATTACAATTAATCAAAACCCATAAAATCATCATCATCAACAATTGCCAGTTCTGACAACTTTATATTGAAAGCCGAGCATACCAGACTAACGATAATCATAGGAGCCTAATACCTGTTTAGCTTCTAAAAACTTTTGTGACACCAATCATTAAATGCTGAACTGACCATTCACAAATAAAATTTACAAAAACTACAAAACACCTCGAAAAACCTAGATTTTCGATTACATAAAAACACACCTGGAGTAAACTTGACGACATCATTTAACATGACACCATTGAACCCGCCAAATGCGAATATGTTATCTTTAGTACCTACTGATGTGTGACCGTATCGAGGTACCAAAGAATCACTATCCAAAGTTGACCAAGTGTTACAATCTGCAAATAAAAATAAGAACGAACACTCATTAAAGAAGCAACTGAAACATATAAAACCGCGGTGGAAACTTAAAAATCTTCAGATGATTGACACAACAACATTCAATGTAGAATTCTTTCGTACTAACAACCTTGGTTACAACTTCGAAATACAAATAACGTCACTAACCAATATCATACTGCTGTACAACAGGCGAGTAACATTTCAAAGCACTGTGTGCGGCTACTTCATTCTGTATATTTCCGCCAATGACAATCATCATCCGATTTATTAAAGATGCGGAATGTCGAAACACGGGAGACAGACCAGAAGTTAGCGATATATGGCTACTGTAACTCCACTGAATACAGTTAAAAACCATTCCAGTTAGAAAAAGCAAAACCTACTCCGCTCGGACTAACTATTAAAGACAAAAACCCCTCAAATGCAAACTTCAGTTCAAAAAATCAATTCCAAATAATAAAAACAGTGCTGCACGTAAGCTCAACCGTTAAGAATTGAGATGTGGTATCAATCGCATCCATAGCAAATTTAAACTCAGCTACTCCTAAGAGATTGAATTGTTTTCGATCATTTAAAGACCAGTAAGCAGACTACGACAAATAAATTTAAGTCTCACCATCTTGAACTGTTACACCTGTATTCCACAAGTGAATCACTACCAGAAGGTTTCTTTCCATGGTCTTTCGATGGCATAAAACCCCCATAGATCAAAATGACTTCACTACCATTTTTTTTATAAGTCACTAAACTATGAGCAAAGCGTCCATATAAAGGAGGGCCTTCATCAACTACATTTTGCCAAGATTTGTTCACTAAACGACATCCAATGGTATCAACTAACTTCATAAAGATTAACTGACCAAAACAAGTACAGACAAGCCACTGAAAAAGATCATACCTAAATTATACTTTTGCACTTTGTGCAAAAGACCAAAAGTCGGATTGTACCCGTAAAAAATAAACATTTCATCCGCGATAACATGAGCCTTATGACCAGCAACTGCGATAGGTAATTCACTAGAAGACAAATTCGTAAATGCAGTTTCATTCACCCACTCTAAAGTTGCCATATTCAAGCTCCACAATTCGTTCGTGACAACATTTTCTGCTGTCACCCCTCCAAACATTAATAGTTTCTCCTGAAAGTACTCGTCAGTAACCAAAAATCATGAAAAGTTGCAGCAAAACTAAAAACGCGTCTAAAACAAAAAATAAAAATAAAGTAAAGAATCACTGCAGAAAAAAATAAAAGTAGTTGCATAATTAAAAGGAATTTGGCGAAAAAGTGACTTCACTGCATTTAAAAATAAAAATTTGATTTTCAACACCAACACCACGTCAAATAAAAACTTTTTTTTACCTTATAGCGGACAAGAGAATGGTCATAACGTATAGAAGGTCCATTCTCAGTCCTTATTTCTTCCCAGCTAGCATTCACAGTATTATACACCGCAACAAAATTATGAGTGCTTCCAGAAAAGAATGTGCCACCAATTATCCATACTTTATTGTTCACTAATACCGATGCATGGGAAGCACGACCACTCATCGGCTTACCAGTCACAAGCACCGTTTCAAAAACACTTTGACTACTTTTTTTCTGACATCTGTCTCCTGCAAAAAAAGAAAAAAAAACAAAATAACCTCACTGAAAGCAGAAGTTTAACAAAAATTACTGTGATCAAAACAATCCAAAAATAAAATCATGAGAAATCCTTATGTTCTGAAAACCTAGTCAGTGAGACCAAATTAATAAACGTTTAAAAAATTTGTGCAATAAAATAATAGAACTTCCTTTAGTTTATTTCAGTAAAGCTAAAACTCTACCGTGATATAAAATTTGACATAAACATTTGTTGTCCATCAGACATGAGCCATGCCCGCACGGGCGATTATCTCCTTTCTGAGGGCAAACAGGAGTTTCACAAAACTCTCCCGTATAACCTTCGTTGCAACGACAAACACCATCATTACACTCGCCATGTGATGAACAATTTTTTTTGCATGCACCATTATAAAAACTGATATCAAAACCCGCAGTTTGAAAAGCTATATCACTAAAGAAAAACACCAATGCCTTCCCAGACTTTGCAACAAATTCCTGACCTGTCTGGGTGCCGCTGAAACCAAGCAATGTTAGAATAAAAAATCATTAGCATTTCTGTATTTTTGTGTGATTAAGCCCTCATGATTGCTTAAAATACTGAATTTTTGATAATGCAGTCATTTCACGTTACAATGGTAAATAAACAAAAAATAAAAAAACACAGAAGTCCGGCTACACAAAAAATATACAAAAGTAGTCCGCATAAACACATGATATTACCAAGCTTCATTTAGAATGTGTAAGAAACAACCTGAATGCAGCAAGTTGCTCGCCATAAACACCATCTCCGTCATAAAAATATACATGGTCCCAACTACACTCGGTTTCGAACTGATTTAATTTAAACAATAATGGACCACTGTTATTTTTACCCTCAATAATCCACATACATCTCGAGGAAGCTGTATAGTTTTGTGGCCCATCGGCAATTGTTTCAGAGTTATCTGTTAATCTAAAACATCATTTATTAATCGGAGAAGGGATAATAGAATATACATTCAAAATATCAGCGATACTTAATGCAAACTGTAGAGGAAAATCGAGCCACTAAAACGGACAAAAATAAGCTTTTTCAGTCCTGGTAGACTCACTGTAGATGCAAGCACCAGAACCCAATGTCATCTCAAGCCTACTCAGTAAAAAAAATAATCAGGAAGATATCGTTTGAGTTAAAGTAAGCGCACTAAATTTCTGTGGAGTCAACTTCAACAAATTATTCGATTTTTCCTATGGTGATTTTTTGATCTCATGAATATTCAAATTAGGGCTTAATACCATATTAAAAAATCAATCATTAGCCTAGTTAACCCGTAAGTTCGCCTTATGCAAACTAAACTCGTTAAATTAATCTAAGGGTAATTGAGAAACTTAGAATGAAACATTTTGCAAGATTAACTGCTATACTGTACCAGCAAACTAATAATTCTCTTTTCACATGATATGACAATGATTGAAACGGAATATAAAATAACTGGTAGCCCGACACTGATTTGAAAACTTGTGAAGGACGTCAAAAACTTTTGGATAGCTCTCACCCCTGACAAAACCACATCATAAAAATTTCAACAACAGTACAGTAATAATAAAGATAAGAAATTCTAAAAATAGTGCTTACACTACGCGCCCATGGCAATGATCACACTGTTCGCCGCCCCATCCTGCAAAGCATCTGCATTTACCATTGTCGCATGTTCCTTGAAAACAGGGCTTGTTATTGCAATTCTTTGACACTGAAGTGACTCCAACTCTAAAAAAATAATGAAGTTTTTGAAAGAACAAAAAATAAATAAAAGAAAATAAATTACAAAACAAAAGATTAAATACAGCAAATTCCTCATAAAATTTTATACGAAACGACCTTGTCCAACAACTTACTAGTAGAACACAAAATACCAGTAGAGACGAAAAACTAGAGTTCAACATAGGAAAAAAGTGATTAATCTTCTGACTTTTTTTTTTGTGGCGCTAAGCAAAATAATTCTTATCTTAACCAAAAATGTACAGATACGATGAATACATATGAACTGCTGCGTCACCACCATTTAAACTTTATTTAGAAATAAAACTTTAAAAAAACGATGGCAAAAAAAA